GCATTGGTTGCTTTTCTCTAAAACATGACCACAAAATCTCCCCTCTGAAGCAGCACCCTTCACCTCTGCAGCCTGGCCATTAGGGAACCCACAGCAAACCGGGCAGAGGCAGGCTGCTGTTGCCATGGTGACCAGCATCCTGAGGCCACAGGAGATCACCAAGTCCCGACTCCAGGCAACGCCTCTATCACACGGAGGCCATGATCACCGCCATCAATCAAGCACCTCCAGGGTGCCAGTGCTGAGCCCAGCTCTTTGCACGCCCTGCATGATGTACCCTCGGAACAGCGCTACGAGGGGCAATGGTGTATCTCCTTTCACAACAGGGGAAGCCGGCAGTCTGGCTGCAGAGCCCAGGTCTCAACCACAACAGCAGTCTGCCCTTATCCACGGTTTCAGTTACTCACACAGGGTCATCTGCGGTCTCGAATCAGACAAGCTTCCTTCTGAGATGTCGTCAAAAGGCCCACACTAGCCTAACACTGTGTCACAGTGCTGATGCCGTTGTCCTCACCACAGCTCATCTGGTAGGCATCTAATCATCTCACATCACCACCACAAGGGTGAGTACAGTCCAGCAAGAGCTTTTGAGAGAAAGACCACATTCACATAATTTTTATGATGGTGTTTTGTTATCATTGTTCCAGCTTACTTTTAGTTGTTGTTGTGAATCTTATTGTGCCTATTGTATAAATGAAACTTTATTATCGGATATATAGGGCCCAGGAGTACCCCGGTCTCAGGCATCCACTGGGGGTCTTGGAGCATACCTCCGTGGATAAGGGGGACTACTGTAACAAACTGAAATAAAATATAACTGCTGGAGCACCTGGGTGGCTCAATCGGTCGAGCGTCCGACTTCAGCTCAGGTCATGTTCTCGATCGAAGTCCACGAGTTCGAGCCCCGCATCGGGCTCTGTGCTGACAGCGCAGAGCCTGGAGCCTGCTTTGGATTCCGTGTCTCCCTCTCTCTCTGCCCCTCCCCAACTTGCACTCTGTCTCTCTCTCTCTCTCTCTCAAAAATAAGTAAACATTAAAAAAATTAAAAATATATATATAACTGCCTATAGAAGTATAGTGCAATGGTGAAGGCTAAAAGGGATGTGGCTGTGCCTCTTAGAAGTGTGACCCTGGGGAAGAGGCCTGTTTGCTTAGTGCTGATTCCCTTATCTCTAAAACATGACAACTTCAGAGGGTTGTGAGGATTAAAAAAGTGCATACGAATCCCTGTCCCTGGGCAGGCCCCAGCGGTGCTCAGTGAAGGTTTCGTCACCCATTACAGGGCCTGCCAAACCTTCAGCCCTGCACACTCCGCACACAGGAACTAAAGAGTAGGATGTGGGCACTGGGGGAGCATCACCTGGGTACGAGGCACTGGGCCAGGGGCCCAGGAGGGTCATTCGACCAGGGGCCTGGGCTCTGCGACACAGTAGGATTCTGGGCCCTGATCCCTCACTGCGGCAAACCTCCCCTGCCCCATCAGTCCCTACCCCACCCTAAGCCACCGGCAGTGCCCTCCTGGGTGGGGCAGGCAGGGCAGGGCAGGGCTGGGCATCATTATCACTCCCAGCTCAGGGCTGGAGACAGAGTTAAGCCAGGCCTTCTTATCGGCTCCCCAAGCACTATGCTGAAAGGCACTGCCTGGCTCTGAAGCTTGGGGGCTGGAAGGCGGGGCCCTGTAGTGGCTGCCCAAGTCCTTGCTCCTCTAGAATGGTCCCTGGAGCAAGAATGGAAGAAGCAGCCTGGCAAACAGAACTCCACCTGGCTTGGATACCGTGTCATCTTAGGCAATCCCTTCCCTCTCTAATCTCCATCTGTGAAACTGGGGGTGGAGGGGATGACCCCTGAGTCCCTCGCAGCTTGAAAGAATTGGGATCCTGTGACCACCTGTGAGGTAGCCATGCTGATTGTCCTATTTACAGACAAGGCACCTGAGGCCGAGCAGAGGGAAGAGACTCATTCCCATAGCATACTAGTCAGTGGCAGAGCTGAAGGACACCCAAGCCAGTGCTCTTCCCACACCACATGCCCTGACCTTCTAGCAGGCCCACGGAGGAAAAGTCTAGAAATGACAAAAGCACAGCTACTTCTGGGCTCCCCATCCCAGGTCCAAACCCCTCCATGAGGTTCCAGGTATGGGCTGGGGACCTCAGAAGAGCTCCAGGCCCGTGGATACCTGGCAGCCCTACGGAGTGAGAGGTCACTCCTTGGCTTCTGTCCAGGGAAGGCAAGGATGGCAGGGCTTTCTGGGTGTGGGGAGAGCTGTCCCCATAACTGGACTCGGATAATACCCCTGCTCTTATCAGTGGGCCAAGGGCTCCAAGGGGTATATCTGAGAATCAAGGGCAGGTTCAGCAGAAGTGGGGAGGGAGCACAGAGGCAAGGTGAGTGCAGCTCAGCTGAAGCTTTTAGTCTGGAAGGAAAGAATCTCTGAGGGTGGGTCTAAGGGTTAGGGGATGGGTGTGGGCGGAGTCACAGGAAGGGGCAAGCTAGGTCCACTTACCCTTTGAGGAGCAGAGGAACCTGAGCTAAAGGGCTTTCTAAAGAAATCTTAAAAACCTCAGTTTGGGATGGACGAGAGAGACCCAAAATCTACGCCCCGGAGCAGAGGAGTCACGGCTGCCTTTGAGAACCTAAGAAAAGTTATGCCCTTGCCTAATGGGGAAACCGAGGCCCAGGCTTTTGGGGAGATGACTCACACCTAGCTTAAGACTTGGAAGGCCCTGGGGCGCCTGGGTGGCTCAGTTGGTTAAGCATCCAACTTCAGCCCAGGTCATGATCTTACAGCCTATGAATTCGGGCCCCGCATCTGGCTCTGGGCTGACAGCTCAGAGCCTGAAGCCTGCTTCAGATTCTGTGTCCCTCTCTCTCTCTGTCCCTCCCCAACTCATGCTCTGTCTCTCTCTGTCTCTCTCAAAAATAAACATTAAAAAAATTTTTATAAAGACTTGGAAAGCCCTGTTGGAGAGGGGGTGAGTCCCCTGTACAGCTGGGGGCAGTGACCCAGGAGGTTCAGTCCTAATGACCAGTCGCCAGGCTCTGAACCAGGCAGGGCAGCAGAGAAACAGGCCATGCGGCAGAGCAGGACTAGGCCTTCCAGACCCTGGGGCCTGGCTTTCTCAGGCCCCGGCAGAGCTGGGGCTCCAGGCAGGCACCACCTGGGTACTCAGCCAGTTCCCTGAATATCCAGGCCTTGGCTCAGGATTCCTGGGCTCTCTTCTTCTCTGGCCCAGGCTCAGAGGACTCCCATCTGGGAGCAGGCCTGCAACTCTCCTCACTGCTGGGCAGCCAGGGCTGAGCTGTGCCCTCTGAAACCACCCAGACAGGTGATGAACACATACACTACATACACCCCTGGGGTTGGGGGCTCAAAAGGCCTCATGCCCTCTTCCCCTCCCCAGGCACCCCTGGACTGCAGGCTTCCCAGACAGATACGACTGCTTCACCTTTATTTGTAAATGCTGGCCCTAAGACTTTTAAATGTGGCCACCGAAGCCATTTACAACAAGGCCAAAACTAGGCTGCCTTTCTGTATGCCAGTGAGTACCCTGCACCCCTCCCAGAACCCAAGGTTAACTCTGAGTTAAGCAGGGGTGAGAGCTGAGAAAAGGCTTGAACACCGAGAGCGCTTGGCATGGGGAGTCCATGAGACCAGGGCAAAGGGGGCAAGAAAGAGCTGTAGTCCTTGGTGTTGAGCAAGACTGTTCAGGGGCCCAGAGAGCCAGAGCCAGAGCCAGAGCCAGGGGTAAAGCTGGGGCTGGACAGGGAAGGGCCCAAAGCCGCCATGGACATTCCAGGGAGGAGGAAGAAGGACGGGCAGCAGCGAGAGGCACTCAGCATATAGAGAACTGAAGTTACGTCCTGCATTGTGGGTCACCCACCTCTCCAGGCTGGGCTGGCACCCCCAAAGGATGAACTCCTGCCACCCCCACAATACACATACAGGCACACAAACCTCCATGGGACCCTGAGGTGTTCACCTGGTCCTCTGCTGACATGCCTTCCTCTCACCTTCACCACATCCTGAGCTCGCCTGGCAACGAGGGTGGCAGGAAGCAGCGTGGTTAGTGCCCATCATCACCTCCTAATTGTAGCAGTTCTGAACCTTCAGGGTGGCAGGAGCACATGGGGCACTTGACAAAAATTCAGATTCAGATTCCTGCCCTCCCTTCTCCTCAAGATTCTGAATCAGTGGTCTGAGGACCCAGGTAATTCTGAGAGGGTGGTCCTTGGAGAAATGCTGGGTGGTCTGCTAGGTGTTCGGTGGAGAAAACAACCGTAAATATAACTGCTGCATTCATCGTGTGCCTACTGTGCACCTGACGTTTGGCATGAACCACCTTATTTTGTCCTTTGACACCCTTCCGGGAAAGGTGCCATCATTTCTATTCCCAAGGTCACACACTGCCCACTAGAGAAATCACAATTTGAGGTAGTTCCCTCTCTCCCCACCCCCTTCCTGTCCCCTAGGGGCCTGCAGACTCACAGGGTCTGGGACCCACCCCAGGGACAGGACCAGAACCAGCATGTGACTCCCCAACAGGAAGGAGTGACCAAGGTGACACCAGTCAGTAAGAAAGATGTAGAATTGTACCGTAATGGAGAATACCCCCACCCCTCCACTTCCCAGGGATGAGGCAGCAAAAGGGCCCAGTCCCAGCCTGAGGGCTGCCAAGTCACCAGGGAGGCTCCAGTGTGGCAAGGCTGGACCTGGCTGGCTTAGCCAATTCCCAGGCGGCGGGCGCCCCCTGCAGCCAGACAGGGGAGTGGCAGGCAGAGGCCTGGACGTTCCCAGGGCTGACCTCCCTGGGACGGCTAGGTTTTCTCTGGCATCGTCTCCGGGCCTCACTGTGGTCCTTCTGGTTGCCCCATTTTAAGGATGAGAGAAGTGTTGAGTGTCTTGCCCAAAATCGCAGAGCCAGCCAATATGGGGCCCTGGCTCCTCCCTCCCGGAGTCTTTGTCCCAGCCCCCCAGAGCCCCCCTCACCTCCAAGCTCCCTCGCCCGTAGGACAGACAGGACCTTTGTAGGAGGCAGGCAGTGGGTATTTAATAGGCTTTGGTGGAGGATCTCGACACTCCCACCAGGGAAGTGGGCAAGGGTGGGGCACAGACAGGCCTCCACACAGGGCTCAGGAGATGAGGTTCAGATGCAGGGGCTCCTGGCATCGCCGGGTGTGAGGGGGCGAGAGGTGGGCAGCGCCTCGTCTGGGGCACTCCTGCAGCAGGGAAAAAAACACTGGGCCTGCATGGAGCTAAACACAGAGTGGAGGGATGGGGCTCTCCCCAAGCCCCTGCCCCACAGCTCATGACCCTCCAGTTAGGGAGCAAGAAACTGTCCAAGCCACCAGCCCCACAGGGAGAGCAAAGGGAGTGGGCTGGTCCCACAGAATGTCACTGCAGGGGCCCTGAGGGAAGAGGAGGCTGTGGATTACACACCCCCACTTCATTCCTAATGGTCCACTTCCAGGCATTTCATATGTTGGGCTTCAGAGTAAAAGTTGCCTTTAAATAAAGGGCTCCAATCTCAGAATTATGAACTACTGGCCTAGTCTCAGTCACTAATAGCTGAGGAAACAGACACCCAGAAAGGGTAAGTGGCCTCAGGCCAACCAGCAAGTGGTCTTTTCTCTTTATGTCTCCAGGGACACCTGGTGTATTCTGAGGACTGTGACTTTACTTCCAGCACTCCTCAGGTCTATGATCTCCCTCCCTCAAGCTCTGAGTGCTCCAGTCTCAGGGCCAGACAAACATGGGGTGAGGGGGTTCCCCCCGACACTTGTAATATCCACAGAATCCCTCTCCCAACACACACAAGTACACTCTCTCTCTCTCTCTTTCTCTTCTTACCTCCTGGAGGGCTAGAGCCTCTCCCTGAGGGAACCTTCCCTGGTTTGTGGAGACTCAGAGATTGGGGCTGGGGGGCCAGAGCCAGGCTCTGGGAGGGCTGGGGGACTGAGCACCGAGGGGCACACTGGGAAGTGCAGGTTCTGCATGGGCACCCAGTCAGACCCCGCCACTCTCTGCAGCCAGACAGCTTCAGCCATGTACCTGGGGAGCAATAAGCCAGATGGAAGGGGTCATGGCCCTCCTGGCCTGCTCCCCCTCAGCTTGGGGAGCACACAGCCCAAGGCTTGGCCCTGCAGAGAGCTGCAGCCAGTCTCATTCAGGCTATAGTGCCCCTCTACCACATTTCTTAGGGTAAGAATCCACAAAGGCAAGGAAGTGAGGGTTCCAGAGGCTCTCACAATGCCCTGAAGGAAACCCCGGAAGAAGAACAGTGAGTATAAAGGCCTGGGAGCTGGGGCTAAGAGGTCAGGGGCGACGACCCGGCTTTATCCCAACTCCCCCTCCCCCCCACCACGCCCCATCACTGGGTCCTCTGGTCTGCAAACTCACTTGGGTCCCAGCGGTGCACAAATTGTTAAATACCAGTTGCTGGCACAGCCGTGGTCGAAGGGGTTGTATCCCTGCAGGTATCGGCACTGGAGGGAGGTGAGGGCCAAAAGAGGAACTCAGGTTCAGCAGGACCGGGCAGCCTACCCTCTGATGGTCCTCCCTGAACCGTCAGCTCAGCACAGGCCCATGGCAAGACTCCAAGGGCAGAGAAGCAGGGAGAGTGAGCCAAGGCCTCCCCTGACCCACCTCTGAGTAGCTCTCTCCAGGCAACCCCTGGCCCTGCCCCCACCTCTCTTGCCTTCTCAGGGATCCTCCCCCATCACCCGTACTCTCTTTTGCAGTATCCTCTCCTTCTCTGTTTCCTTTGGCCACACCACATCCTCCTGCTACCTCCTTCTAGATACACTTTCAGATCTTTTTGTGGCTAAACTGGTCCAAATACAGTTCCACACCCCTCCCCCAATTTTCCTACCTTCCCAGTTCTCATTTTTCCCAAACTTGTGCTTTCACTGAATTTCACTATCTAGAAGGCCAATTGCATGGGGCCCAACCATATTTCCCTAACAAAATAACTTGGCCCTGGAAATCTGGACTGAAGTTCCTGAGCACCCATGCAGTGAAGGTCAAGCCCAAAGGTGAAGTCCTCCCTTGAATACTCTTCACCAAGTTCTTCCCCTCCCCTCCCCTCCCTCTACCCATCAGCCCCGCCCTCCTCCCCCTCCCCAGCACGAGCAGATTCTCACCCTGACGTCAAGAGCCTTAGCTACAAAATGTCTGTAATGATCAAAAGTGGCCCAAGGGCACCTCTGCCCACCACGGGGAGCTCCCCTGTGTCCCATGCCCCTGTCACAAAGATTTTGACCTTCAACACTATTCTCCATCACAAGGTGTCAGGATTCCATGCAGGGCAGCTGACACCTAGGGGAGAAAAAGTCAAGACGGCTCCACAATGTCCCATTGTTGACAAAAAGTGACATCGACCATCAAGACACTTTGAGTTCTAACATTTAAAGCATTAAGGGAAACTGCCATTCTATTTGAAATTTTAATTAAATGGTTAGAAGAGTTTGATTATATTTACAATTAGAATTTTAAATTTAGAGAAATAAATTTTGATTGATTAGATGTATATGAAGTATACAAAAACAACTGTCCAACACTTAAAGGCATGATAATTGTCTGACGAACTCATTAGAACTCACTAGTAAAAGACAACACCTTCCTCTCCCCACATGAGAGCTTCTCGGATGTGAATGGAATCCAACAGCTCCAATTCCATGTCTCAAATGCTCCCACACTCCACAGGACAAAAATCAAAGCGGGCATCTTCTCTTCCCAGCTCCTCCTTCCCAGGCTCTCTGCTGCCTCTGCTCTCTGCCCTTCTTCCCCAGGGATCGGGGCATCAGGCATTTTTCTCTCTCTTTCTCTCCCAAGGCATTATCAATTCCTTTGTGTAAAGACTCACTCATTCGCTTGGAAATATCTGGGGGCCTCAACAATGTCCTAGGCACAGCACTGGGGGCTGAGGACACAACCACCACCACCAAAGCCTGCCTTAACTCTCAGGCAGCTGGGGAGTGGGCAGGGCAGTGCACAGAAGAGCAGGCAGCCGGGGCCAAGACTCCAAGGTGCAGGGAGAGGAGCAGCAGCCCTGGAAAGCAGACAGTGGGGCCCTGAGTGGCCACGGCAGGGGCATTCAGCTTCCCTGATACTGTGTGCAGCCTGGAAAGATTAAGTTTTAGGGCTGCCTACTGGCCCCTTGGAGAGCACAGCGCCAACGTGACAGTGAGGAGAGGCCGGGCTGGAAGCTGGCTGAGGAAGGCAAAGAATGATACCGGCGAGCATAGCCAGCTCGTTCAAGAAGTATGGCCCTGCTGGAGGGGAGAAGGCAACAGGTGGAGAAGAGGCTTGTGTTGTTAGGCGTGTTCTCTTTGTGCCTAAGATGGGAGAGACGTGAACACGTGTAAATGATGATGGGAAGGAACGGTTAAGAGCAACAACAATATATAGGGCTTCTGCTCACACTGGCTGCTGCTCTCCGTGTCTTACACGTATTAAGCCGTGCGGCCCGTTTCACAGATGGGGAAACCAAAGCACCAGGTAGCTAAGTAACAAATCCAGTACCTCCCTGCTGATATGAAGCTGCGGTTGGAATTTATGCAGACTGGCTCCAGCGCCCTTGGTATCAACCACTGGGGCAAGTGGCCCCAAAAGACGTGGTTCGGGGATGGAGGTAGGAAGGGAATGAAGTTGAAGTGTGTAAAGAATGCCTGAAATGGGGGTCGTCTGGGTGGCTCAGTTGGTTAAGTGTCCAACCTCGGCTCAGGTCATGATCTCATGGTTTGTGGGTTCGAGACCCACATCGGGCTCTGTGCTGACAGCTCGGAGCCTGGAGCCTGCTCTGCATTCTGTGTCTCCCTCTATCTCTGACCTTCCCCCACTCACACTCTGTCTCCATCTCTAATAAATAAACATTAAAAACGAAAAAAAAAGAATTCCTGAAACAGGTTCTGCAGGTGAGGGGACAGAGCCCTGAAAGAATGAGTCACACTCATCACAGAGTGCAGCAAATCACAGAGTGCAAACCCCATTTAGATTTCTGAAGACTGGAGATCACAGACTGGGAGACCCCCATTCCGAGCAATGGAGCAAGGGCAGGCCAAGGGCCTGACGTGGGGCTAGAAGAACCATGGGATGTGGGAAGGGGAGTGCTGCCCAAGGGAGGCTGAAATGATGGACTGAGGCTGGAGACAGAAGACACTCAGACCACAGAAGGTAATGAGAAAGGGATAATGGGTACTGAGCAAGAGGAGTCACCGGTGGGCTGGAGTGGTTGAGTAGTGACTGTAAGGACAGCAAGTGGTGGGCAAATAGGGGTCCTCTGTCCTGTCAGTTGTCTCAGTATCTCCAGCTCTCCCTCATCAATGTAGGCAACTACAATCTTCCTAAAACAACCTTCAGTTGGGGTGCCTGGCTGGCTCAGTCTGGGTAGAGCATGTGGCTTTTGATTTCAGCAGCTCTTAACCTCAGGGTATTGAGTGCAAGCCCCACATTGGTCATAGAGCTGACTTAAAAATAACAATAACAACAATCTTTAGCCAAGTCATCGTCCTGCTAAAGGAATCCCATGGCAAGGATGTTCACTTTTATCACTTCTACTCAACATTGCACTGGAGATCCAAGACGGTCAGTACAGTAAGAAAAGAAAAAGAAATAAAGCCATACATGTTAGGAAGGAGGAAATGAAACTGTCCTTATTTACAGATGACATGATTTTCTATGTAGAATCAACAAAAAAACTATTAGAATAAGTGAGTCTAGCAAAATTGCAAGATTCAAGACCGATAAACAAAAAATCCATTGTATTTCCTTATAATAATAATCAAACAGAAATGAAATTTAAAAACACATTTATGGGGAGTCTGGGTGGCTGAGTCAGTTGAACATGTGACTCTTGATTTCAGCTCAGGTTATGATCCCAGGGTTGTGGGATTGAGCCCTGCATCAGGATCCAAGCAGGGAGCCTCCTTAAGACTCTCTCTGTCTGTCTGTTTGTCTCTCTCTCTTTCTCTCCCCCTCTGCCACTCTCTCCCTCTTTAAAAATAAAAAAAGTAAAGGAAGCAAAAATAATATAAAAACAGGGAGGGGGACAAAACACAAGAGACTCTTAAATATAGAGAACAAACAGAGGGCTACTGGAGGGGTTGTGGGAGGGGGATGGGCTAAATGGGTAAGGGACATTAAGGAATCTGCTCCTGAAATTATTGTTGCACTATATGCCAACTAACTTGGACGTAAATTCAAAAATAAACGATTTAATTGATTTAAAAAATATTTAAAAATTAAAAAATAAAATAAAATAAATAAAAGTAGCACATATATAATAACACGAAAAGCAAAATACTTAGAAAAGATCAGGGAGCCTGGGTGGCTCACTCAGTTAAGTGGCTGACTTCAGCTCAGGTCATGATCTCACAGTCATGAGTTCAAGCCCCGTGTCGGGCTCTGTGCTGACAGCTCAGAGCCTGGAGCCTGCTTTGGATTCTATGTCTCCCTCTCTCTCTGTCCCTCCCTGCTTGCCCTCTGTCTCTCTCTCAAAAATAAACAGACATTTAAAAAAATACTTAGAAAAGATCTAACACAATGTATGCAAGATCTATATACTGAAAACCACAAACACTAATGAAAGAAATTGAAGAAGTACATGGAAAGAGGTTTGTGGCTTCAGAAAGCTCAATATTGGTAAAACGTCAATTTTCCAAATTGACCTATAGGTTCAATGCAATCCACATAAAAATCTCAGCAAACGTTTTTGTGGAAATTAAGCTGATTCTAAAAGTTATGTGGAAAATCAAAGGAACTAGGATAACCAAAAAAACTCCCCAAAAGAACAAAGTTGGAGAACTTACATTGTGCAATTTCAAGACGTAATGTAAGCCTACTAATCCAGACAGTGTGGTATTGGCAAAAGAACAGAGTCCAGAAATACAGCCACAACTACATAGTTAACTGATTCTTGACACATGTGCAAAGGTAACTCAATGCAAGAGGACAGTCTTTTCAACAAATGGTGCTGGAACAGCCCATTTGCAAAAATAATACATCTTGACCCTAACTTGCATCATATACAAAATTTAATGCAAAATGAGTCATAGTCCTAAATATAAAATCCAAAAACAAAATCCTAAATATAAAATCCAAATATAAAATCCAGAAGAAAATATAAGAAAATCTTTGTGACCTTGAGTTAGGCAAAATTTTCTTAATTACAACACCAAAAACACAGTCTATAAAAGGGAAAAACCAATAGTGTACTTCAGCAGAATTTAAAACTTCTGATCTTTGGAAGGCACTGCTAAAAAAAATTGAGATGACATACAGACTGGAAGAAAATATTTGCAAAACACATATCTGAATCCAGAGTACATAAAGAAGTCTTAGGACTCAATAATTTCACAAAGAAAAAAATGGGGGTCGGGGGGCGGCGCCTGGGTGGCTCAGTCGGTTAAGCATCGGACTTCCAACTCAGGTCATGATCTCACTGTTCGTGGGTTCAAGCCCTGCATCCGGCTCTGTGCTGACAGCTCAGAGCCTGCAGCCTGTTTCAGATTCTGTGTCTCCTTTGCTCTCTGCCCCTCCCCCACTTGCACTCTGTGCAGTCTCTCTCTCTCTCTGTCTCAAAAATAAATAAACATTTAAAAAAATTAAAAACGAAAAAACTGACAATACCAAATGTTAGTGAAGATGTAGAGCAACTGAAATTCTCACACATTGACTGCGGAAATGCACAGTGAGAATGCAGCCATTTGGGGAAACAATTTGACGGCCTCATAAAGTTAAATGTACAGTTACCATATGGCCCAGCAATACCACGCCTAAGCATTTACCCAAAAAGAAATGAAAATGTATGTTCACGTGCCTGTACACCAATGTTTATAATCGCCGAAAACCGGAAACAACCCGAATACGCTTCCATCAGCAAATGGATAAACACGTGGGGGTATATCCACATGTTGCAATACTGCGTGGCAATAAAAAGGAAGAAACTACTGATATGGGCAGCAACATAGATGCATTTCAAATGCAGTATGCTAAGTGGAAGAAGCCAGACTCAAAAGGCTATGATTCCATTTATATGAGCCACTGGAAGAGGGAAAACTATAGGGATAGAAAGCAGAACAGTGGCTGCGAGAGGCTGTGGACAGGGAAACTGGCTACAGAAGGCCGTGAGGGAGTTTTCTGTGGGGTGATGGAGCTGTTGTAAATCTTGATTATGGTGGTGGTTACAGGACAGGACTGCACGTCAAAACTCATATAACTGTGCACCGAAACAAGGTGAAGTCTAACGTTAAAAAAAAAAAAAAAATCCTATCGTGGCTGCCAGGTTTACACTGGATTAAGACCAAATTCTCTACCTGACTTTCTGAGCCCTTTCATTCCGGCCAATCCCGAGCAGTCCACTTGATTTCCCATGCCATCTTCTGCTCCAATTACCACCGTTTCCTCACCATCCTACCCACATTCGACAGACTGGCAGGCTTCCCTGCCTTTCTGCAGGCTGCGCCCCTCACATTTGCTCTCTCCGTTTTCTGACGGTCCCAAACCGCTAAGCGGCACGCCCCACGCCACACAGCGGTCCTCCCAGAACTCAAGTTCCTCTCTGAGTCTGCGCTACTCAAAGTGGCAGAGGCCCTTTCTCGTAGCGTTCACCGGCGTCTGGCGGGTGTTATTCTGATTTCAGTTACCCTATCAACACAAGCGCAGGATGAAGCCTTACTCATCTCTCCGCCCAACGCTCAAAATTAAGCACACATGGCCTAGCACACAGTAGGCCCTCGATGCAGTGCACCCAGGAAGGAGAGTGACCACCGAGCTCTAGGAGCAGGTGGATTTGAGATGCGTCTAGGTCCAGAAGGGCTAATGGCCCTTCTGGAGGCATTCGAGGCAGGTCAGGCCGTCAGGCACCAGGGCGGTGCACAAAGCGGAAAGGGCAGAGGTCCCGGAGGCGCAAGGTGACCACCCACAGCCCGGTATCCCCGCGTCCCGCTCGGCCTCGCGTACCTTACCCTCGCAGGAGCGCTGGGCCGCGCTCACCGACATGGCCTGGATCAGCAGCAGCAGGAAGAGTGGCACCAGGAAGCCGGCGGCGGGTACGGTCACCAGGATGCTGCGCACCAGCTAAGGAGCAGAGCCTCCGGACCTTCCTCCCTGGCCCCGCCCCTCGTCCGACTCCGCCCCAACAGCCCCGCCCCCAACCGGGACCTTCCATCCGCTCCCCGCGCTCCGCCCGGTACACCACACCCCACTACCCTCCCCAGGCCCCGTGCCACCTTTAGCATTCCCCATCATGACCCTGGTAGATTCTCAACTCTTCCCCGTCCCTTCTAGCCCCGCCCATCTCCCTGGCCCTACCCACCCCCACCTAGTCCCTGGGGGTTCTCCCCGTACACCATTGGGGGGGGGGAGGAGGACGACCCCGCCTCCCCCCTCCCCCCCTCCCCCCCCTTCCCGCCAAGCCTGCCCCTCATCCCCACCCCGCGCTCTCCTCAGTACTCCCTACGTGGGTCCCACGGCGGATACGCCATGGCCTTGTCCATGGAGAAGGGCAGGTGGGTTGTGCGCACCAGGAAGATCAGGCAGGTCACCAGCAGGGCACCCGAGTAGAGGCACAAGGACAGGACCAGCAGCATGAAGAAGCGGAAGTTGCGGTGACCGATGCAGTTATTAACCCATTTGCAGTGGTGGTCAAAGTCCTGGGCAAGAGGGAGGGGGCAGGCTTGGAGCACCCCTAATCAGAAGTTTTACCCCCTTTCCCAAAGGCCACCTACCCTTGGCCCCTCAAACTGGCTCCCATCCCTAGGGAGAAACCCAGCCACAAAGTCCTTAATGCTGGCATTTCTATGGTTAGAGCACTGTTAAGTCTCCATGGCTCACAAGGTCATATATCAAGAGGCCTTTAGGGACAAGGCCTTCCTGGTCTTCTGTGGGACACATCCTGGTTTAACTTTGGGCAGGACACAGAATATTTCTGGGACTCTGTTTTCTCATCCATTGAATAAGGATAATAATACCCTTGCTCAGGCTGCCTCCCCGGATTGTAAGGACCAGATAAGACAGCACATTTGTAAACCTGTGTAGCGGGTGCACATGAGACAGCTCAGCACTCAGACCCCAGGAGACCCTCTGACCTGGACATGCAAAGAAGACAGGCGAAGCTTCCCTGGCCAGGCCTACAGCCAGCCTGAGGGCCTTGGGCACCTAGTGTCAGCAAGCCTGGGGGAAGACACGAGTGTCTTTCTCCCCCTGGCCTGACCAGGTCCAGCATAGGTGTGGATGCCTCTGCGTGTCAGCACCTGCACAGGCAAGGGCCAACCTCCCAGGACAGGTGACAGGTAGTGACCTGCATGAGTGACCAAGAGTGGCTGGGAGTTACTGCCACCCTTGGCCTTTAGCGATCCCGGAAGTGGTTTCACACCCGCCACAGGAGCTGGTGTGGGTGGGCCTCCTGGGCAGGGGCAGGGTGGGGGCAGGTGGGCAGTCAAGAAGGGCACTCACTTCCACACAGACGTTGCACCAGGGACAGTGGTAGGTCCGGGGCGGGCGGTGGAAGCAGCACTTTTGGCACCATTGCAGACGGAAGGCCCTCTGGTTCACCCACACCACATGCACCATCATGGGGCCCTGTTCATTGGAGCCTGTCACAGGAAGAGGATTGGGCAGCAGTAAGAGGGCCTTCCATCAGTCTGCTGCTCCGGGGGTAGGGAGGCCAGCTCCCTATCATTACTGGGCTCCAGGAAGTGTGGGGAAGAGATGGGCAGGGGCATCCCTAGTCCCCACTGAGCAATCTGCCCAAGCACAGAGAGACTGGCATTCAAAGGGAAGGTAAGTTTCCAGCCAGAAGTGTTCTGTGAGGACTCAGCCCTTTGAAACTGTGACTGATGCTTTGAGGAGTTTGTGCAGTGGGAGGGACGAAGGGAGAACTGAGTGGTTTCAAAGGGCTGGCTTCTCCCCCCACCCAAAGCAACTGGAAAACTCCAGAAATCTGGTTTTCCACATCTCCGTGGCTTAGACGATGAAGTGCCAGAGGCAGGGCCTAGGAAAATGAGGATGTGCATTGAAAGGGTCCTGAGGCCCGAGGAGGGGAGATGGAAGGAGCCCTTCAGGAGAGGTTACATCCTTCTCCCAGGGACCAATGCCTCACCTTGATGCAAGATGCCCGGGTCTGAGAAATTGAGTGAAACGAGACTGAAGAAGGTGAGGACACAGAGGAGGCCTGTGACAAGAGGAAAAGCCCACTCCCCATTCTGGGCCAGCCACCTGCAACTGAGACCAGAGCGGGGCTCAGCCCTGATCTGGGGTGGGGGTGGGGAGGTGAAGTTCTCTCTGAACCTGGTCCACTTGGTCAGAACCCAAGTGGTTCTGAACCCCTTGAAGCCTGCTCTAAATATCCAGGCTGGTGACAGATCCATAGAGACTCCACCAAATGTCACCCAGTGTTACGGGCCACCTGCAGCTCCCAGAGGCACCAAGCACTATATACCCGTGCCTTTGCACCTTCGATTCCCTCTGCCTAGAGTATCCTCCCTTCTCTCACCCCTCTTCCACACTTCCCCTTCCTCTGCACTGTCATTATCTATCTTCCTTTCTGTCTCTGTAGGAAACCTGTGGCTTGTGTGGGAGGGAGACTCACGGGAACGCAAAGAAAAGGCCACTGAAAACTACCAGCAGCACCACATTGAAGGCAGCAAACAGGCTTGGGAGGATCCAGGGAAGCGGGGCCTGAGGCAGGGGATGGGGCTCCTTCATAAGGGGCATGGCGTCCTTCAAGACTGGCATGGCTGGACCTCCTGCACCCCCAGGGGAGATCAGAGTCACCAGGCTCCCTCGCCCCAGCTGGCTCCAGGAACCCCATGGCCACAGCAGCCTCGGAAGCCACAGCCCAGGGTGGAAGGAAAGAAGCTCCAATGTGACATCATAGAGGTTGAGGAGAATGGAGGCTAGGGGCTCTTCAGCAGAACTGTCTGCAGCCAGTGACCAGAACTTCCAACAGCAACCCCCTCCCCATCCCCCCCCCCACACACACACACTTGTGCCAGGGACTGAGCAGTCCTGCCCTATGAGGTTGGCTTTGAGACTACATGAGATTAGAGAGACACATGGGGAGAAGGTGGGCGATTCTAGTCATCTTTTCAGGCTCAGTGCTAATTGAAGCAAACAATGCTTGTTGTTCACTCTATTTTTTTCCCCTCTTTTATTATTACAAAATTCCACTTTGGGGAGTGGAGGGGCAGCTAGATAATTTTCTAACTTCCCTCATTTCCAGGGCTGGCTTCATGACACAAGTCTGGTCAATGAGACAAAGGGGATGTCTGCTGAGGATTCTCAGAAAAGATTTGCCTTGTCCTCTTCTTCTGGTCTTGAACCTAGATGTTCTGGCTGAAGGTATCACCTTGGACCCATTAGGCAGTATGTCAACAGGTTACAAAGAATGACATTGTTGAGTCACTGCCCCAGACTTAAACTGCCTCCCTCTGAGCTGCTTATTATATGAGAAGATAGCTGGATTTTCTGTTACATGCGGCTGACATTGGTCATTTGTTTTGGCCATTAAGCATCTGAACCCCTCTGTTTTTGGAGGATTCCCTGCACTGTACCTTATCACGAAGGGCAAAGACTGGTCCCCATACCAGTTGGAGCTAAAACTGCCAGATAATCGCATTCAAAGCCTCTCCTGCAGCTCGCACATAGCCCTGTGACCCAGCCACCACCAATTAGCCTCAGAACTGCTACCACCAACCGAGTGGGAGTCTTCTGAGATACAGCAGCTGCACACATTTTCAGGGCTCCCGCGTGTAGAAGTGTGATGGCCATTTTGAATGTCACCTTAATTTCAACAGTGATTGCGCTGTTCTTCAACATGGATAAACTATGTAATTCTAAGAGTCCTACTTTGTTTTTGTTTTTTTCTTAATGTTTATTTTGAGAGAGAGAAAGAGCGAGCGCACTGGTGTGCTAGACAGAGTGGGGGAGGGGCAGAGAGCGAGAGAATCCCAAGCAGGCTGCATGCTCAGCATGGACGCTTAACCATTTAACCGGCTGAGCCACTCAGGTGCCTCTTGATGTTGCTATTTTCTGAAGCTGGGGCCCAAATTCAGAAGAATAAAATTGACTTTGTGTCTTTTTGACTGGTAGGTGACACCAAAGACCTGCTCTGCCCCCTCATGACCTGTGACATGGCACTACCACGCGTAGAAGGACGTTAACGCACAGATATAATTAACATGCTCTGTATTTTCTTATGTGCTCAACAATATTGTAAGAGCTGCCCTATTTATTGGGCCCACATTGTGGGGTAAGCTGATAAATAAAAAAGAGGATTAAATCTAATACCTGTATAGGTATGGGGTTATCAATATGAATAAATTTTTTCAGTACTTTGGATACTCTTGCAGAGTGGGTAAAAGTACATTTGAATTCCAGGGCAAAGCCCAACACAGACTGTCAACAAATTGGCTTCTAAGAATATTTTATTCCTTAGTTTAAAACACGTATGTCAATTGGCAGCAATTTTGGGACACACCTTAGGTAACAGATTCGTCAGTGTTTTTCGCTGTCCATTAATTCATTTTTCCTCCTCAGGTTAATTACCAGTCAAGTCTTCATGGAATAATTATGGGGACCCATCACTTATATACCTCACCCCAGTAGAGATTCCATTCTCCTCCATTCTGATAATGTTAGCTCCTGGAACAAGTTAATGTGCCTTGTCGTCAACATATGGTTTCTCTGCTCCTTTCCGTTTTGTGTGAAGCTGCAGACCAGAGATGGGGTCTTCTGGAAGAAACATCGAAGGACATAAAGGGATACAGGGAATAGACACACGATTACAGACTTCCGTAGAATAAGCTGATGTGACCACGGAGCAGACACCTCACTGTCGGTCAATCCCTGGATTCCATCCTCCAAAAATCTCCTTCTCCCCCAGTGCTGTTCATCCCAGTCATCAGGACCATCATTCACCCTATTGTTCAGATCAAACCCGTGGAGTCGCCTGACTCCTGTCCTTATCTCATCCAATCCACCAGCTCTGCCATCAAAACAGAATCTCTCAAGTCCAAGCCATCACCCTCTCTTGCCTGGATATTCCGATAACCTTCTAACTGCCCCGTGCCTCCTCTGTCCTTGGCCTTTAATGGACTCTGTTCCAAGTAGCAGCCAGTGCTCCTTTTAGAACTTAGCTCATGGCCTCTGCTTGGAACCTTCCAACTGCTTCATAGGTCACTCAGAGTAAAATCCAAAGTCCTTACTGTGGCCTTCAAGGCCCTCCCTGACCTGGCTCCTCTAACTTTCTGTCCTCATTTCCTAACACTCAACCCCTTGCTCACTCCACATTGGCCAGGCACACTAGCCTCCTTGCTGTTCCTCAAACACACCAGGCGTTCTCCAGTCCTGTGTCCTCTGCACTTGCTCTCCCGTTTCCCTGGAATTCTTTGCCACAAACATGGTAAGTGAAGATCTCGCTTCCTCTGTTCTTTTGCTCAAGTGGTGACTCTGCCTGCATCTCCGGCTGTTTCCTCAGTGTACACTCCTCACAGGTGCACTTTGGGTCAACAAATATGAATATTTAAAACACCCTTGGCATAATTTGCAAGATACTTGCCAGAAGGTTTGTGCATGTTCACACTGCTGTGATAATACTAACACTATAATCAAATATCAACATAAAATAATTTCTCAACTTTTATAGATGACAAATGTTACCTTGATCATTTCATTTATATCTCCTTAAGCTGCTTATGAAGTTAAGTATTCTTATGCACCCAGAGGTCATCTTATTGTAGTCGTCTTGTGAATTGCCCTTTTCCATCTTTTGCTTTATCTCAGTGTAGAAATGTTGGGCTATTTTTCTCTTTTTTCATGGGTGATAAATGTACATAACATAAAATTGATCATTTTAGCCACTTTCTAGTGTCCAGCTAAGTACATTCACAATGTCGTACAGCCTTCACCATCACCCATTTCAGGGCTCTTCCATCATCCCGAACAGAAACTCCGTACCCACTACGCAGTGACTCCTCAGTCGCCCCTGCCCCATCCGGTAACCACTGCTCTGCTTTCTGTCTCTGTATTTGACTATTGTTGGTCCCTCATATAAGTGGAATCACACAATACCTGTCCTCTTATGTCTGGCTTTTTCCACTCAGCATTGTGTCCTCAAGGTTCATCATTGGCCTTTAGCCATCCTGAAAGTTGGTATGTTGCAGCAGGTGTCAGCATTCCCTTCCTTTTCCAGGCTGAATAATATTTCATTGTATGTATTTGCCACATTTGGTTTGTCTTGTTCACCTGTTGATGGCATTTAGGTTGTTTCCACCTCTGAGCTGTTGTGAATGACGCTGCTATGAACGTGGGTGTGCAAATATCTCTTCAAGTCCCTGTTTCCCATCCTTTTGAGTACATATCCAGAAGCAGAATTTCTGGATCATATGTAGTCTTGTTTCATATTTTGAGGGGCTGCCACAGGATTTTCCACAGCAGCTGTACCATTTTACATTCTCACCAACAATGCACAAGGCTCCAATTTCTCCACGTCCTTGCTAACATTTTTTTCATATAAAAAAATTTGTATTTTTTGCAAGTATATTCCCAGTTTGTTGTTTGCCTTTTAATTTTGTGTGTAATGTTTTACATAAAGTTTTTGTGGTTTCTCTCTCTCTCTTTTCTTAGGTAGGCTTCATGCCTAGCGTGGAGCCCAATGCAGGGCTTGAACTCACGACCCTGAGATCATGACCTGAGCTCAGATCAAGAGTCTGACTGAGCCACCCACGTACCCCTTGTGTTGTTTTTATGCAATCAAATCTATTTATCATTTCCTTAGCATTATTTTACCTTACTTTTCCCCTCTCCTGTCTGATGAATATTTAGCTGTATTTCTTGTGTTCTTTTCCATTTAATTCTTTAATCTGAAACTAATGTAAGGATAAAATAGAAGGCAAAGGCCTAAAGTGTATTTTTCTCATAATCGATTATTCCAGCAGTAGTTCTGAGTAAGCTTTCTTTTCTCTCTTACATCAGATTCCAAATTTTTCATATATGCTATGATCTGTGGGCAGCACTGGGAGGTGCCTTCCAGACACCCTCAGGAATGAAGAACTTATCCCCCAGCTGCTAGAAGACAGACTCAGCTTTGGGGAGTGCCTCCCCTAGAGAAAGTGACCTCACCCAAGGTTCCGCCTCCTTCCATAGCAGTTTGCATCCAAGGAGTGAGCAATATACAGTATAAAGGCCCACACACTTTTCTCAGTGCACAACTACTCTCAGTGCACAACCATTCTGAAGGGCCATCCAGCCCCTGTGTGACCTATAGCTTGGCTAAGGATATTGTTGGGCTCTTAGCACAGGCTGACTTCTCCTCTGCTCAGTCCTGTTTCCTTTCCTTTGTTTTTACAGGCATTGATCCTAAAATTGTTCCCTAATGAACATCGTGCATGCTCATCTCTAAAGTCCATTTGCAAATTTTTTGTTTTATCTATTTATTGAATTTAGCACCATATATTTTGATGTTTGTAGTTTTAGAATCCAGGGTTTGGGGGTGCTTTTTTGCATTTTTTAAAAATTTATTTATTTTGAGAGAGAGAGTTTGAACAGGGGAGGGACAGAGAAGGAGGGAGAGAGAGAATCCCAAGCAGGTGCCCAGCATGGAGCCTGACGCAGGGCTCAAGTTCAGGAACCCTGAGATCATGACCTGAGCTGAAACCAACAGTCAGTCGCTTAACCAACTGAGTCACCCAGGCGCCCCTGCTTCTTGCATACTTAGTTGTCATTATCTGAATCCCTAAATTTATGATGCTATGCGGTAAACAAAAAATAAACGCAAAAATATTAAATGATGAATAAGAAATGAGGCCTCACTCGAACATCACC